GAGGCAGGAAACAGGACTGGAGAGACAAAAGGCCAAACAACAGATGCCAACACATAACACATGACAGCATACCACACGCACCTTCGCAGCCTTGCGCCCCCGGAGGGGGCTGGCTGATGCATATAACACATACACGCACACACACATATATACATATATATATATATATATATATATATATATATATATATTCTCTGGGGCTTTGGGACCCTCCAGACGGGCCTCGAAGCGGCCCCGGGCCTCGCAGGGCGTTTTGCCAAGCTTTCCCAGCACACCTAGGGCGATCAGGGGGGTCATCGGAGACGTCCCAGAGACCCCCAAGACAGCACAAGAGCGCTCCAAGAGTGACCGACGTGACCTCAAGATGGCCCAAGAGGCCTCCAGGACGGCCCCAAAGAGGCCTCCAAGAGCACTCCCAAGAAGGCCCCCCGAGGCAAAATTCATTGATTTTCTGTCGGTTTTTGGTGAAGTCTGCGGTTCTCCTCTATTCGGCTTCCCGACGCTCCAAGACGGCGGTCTTCTGGGCGTTCGAAGCCGCCTGGGGGGCTCCAACATCGCACCACAACCATCCGAAAGGGCTTCCAGGCAGTCCACAAGAGCCCCAAAACGGCACTACACGGGTCCAAGATGGCCCTCAGAGAGCCCCATGGCGGCCCAAGATGGCCCAAAGACACCCTCCGAAGCATTCCGAATCGTGACCCGGTCGTTCAGGGAGACCGCGGTTGGAGGCAGGGTGGCCCGAGGAAGCCCCCGGAGGCCCCAAGCCTGAAACAACTTTTGTGAGGCCCCCAGAGGCTCTCCAAGGAGGAGCCTCCGCAAAAAAGAGCTGAGGAGGATGGGAAGTGTGCGCAGGGTATGCCGGAAATAAGGAAACAGAAGCATGGAGGAAGGATAACGAATAACATTATTATAGCGGCGATGCCGGAAAAAGGCAACAAAGAGTTATCGCTAAATTGTCGGTTTCTGCTATTTTGCCGGCATACCAAACTTCAAGGACCAAGGTGCATGGCGCGAAGCGCCACGGCAGTCTTGTATATACATATATATATATATATATATATACAAGATTGCTGTGGCGCTTCGCGCCATGCGCCTTGGTCCTTGAAGTTTGGTATGCCGGCAAAATAGCAGAAGTCGACAATTTAGCGATAACTCTTTGTTGCCTTTTTCCGGCATCGCCGCTATAATAATGTTATTCGTTATCCTTCCTCCATGCTTCTGTTTCCTTATTTCCGGCATACCCTGCGCACACTTCCCATCCTCCTCAGCTCTTTTTTGCGGAGGCTCCTCCTTGGAGAGCCTCTGGGGGCCTCACAAAAGTTGCTTCAGGCTTTCTTACGGCCTTATGGAGGCCTCCTGGGCTTATTCTAGGGGCCTCCGGGGGCTTCCTCGGGCCACCCTGCCTCCAACCGCGGTCTCCCTGAACGACCGGGTCACGATTCGGAATGCTTCGGAGGGTGTCTTTGGGCCATCTTGGGCCGCCATGGGGCTCTCTGAGGGCCATCTTGGACCCGTGTAGTGCCGTTTTGGGGCTCTTGTGGACTGCCTGGAAGCCCTTTCGGATGGTTGTGGTGCGATTTTGGAGCCCCCCAGGCGGCTTCGAACGCCCAGAAGACCGCCGTCTTGGAGCGTCGGGAAGCCGAATAGAGGAGAACCGCAGACTTCACCAAAAAACGACAGAAAATCAATGAATTTTGCCTCGGGGGGCCTTCTTGGGAGTGCTCTTGGAGGCCTCTTTGGGGCCGTCCTGGAGGCCTCTTGGGCCATCTTGAGGTCACGTCGGTCACTCTTGGAGCGCTCTTGTGCTGTCTTGGGGGTCCCTGGGACGTCTCCGATGACCCCCTGATCGCCCTAGGTGTGCTGGGAAAGCTTGGCAAAACGCCCTGCGAGGCCCGGGGGCCGCTTCGAGGCCCGTCTGGAGGTTCCCAAAGCCCCAAATCCCGGGAGTCCGTTTTTTTTTTTTTTTTGGGGGGGGGGGACGGTTTTCCCCCCGCCCAGGCTTGTAAAAATATAGGAAGAGGAATATTCACGTGTATACATACATACATACATACATACATACATACATACATACATACATACATACATACAGTCATACATACTTACATACTTACATACATACATACATACATACATACATACATACAAACAAACATACACACATACACACATACATACATACATACATACATCCATCCATACATACATACATACAAATACACATGCATACATACATACACACATACATACATACACATACATACATACATCCATGCAGACATACAACGTTACACAGTTACATGCATGCATACATGCATACACACACAGACATACATACATGCATACAGACAGACAGACTGACAGACAGACAAACATGCATACATTCATTCATACAAATACATACATACATACCTACATACATACATACATGCATACACACATACATAAATAACCAGACACATACATACGTACATACACACATAAGTACACCTGCAGTCAGGCATTTATATGAACACATACACACAGACATACACACATACATACATGCATATATGCATACATACATGCATACATACATGCCCGCATGCATGCATGCATGCATGCATACATACATACATACACACATACATACACACACATACATACACACATACATACACACATACATACATACATACATGCATGCATGCATACATACATACATACATACATACATGCATATTTACATACACACATGCATACACACATACATTGTTACACAGCGACCCGGCAGGGCCTCCCTCCTTTCCTCCTGCTTTCCCCGGGTGCCCCCCCGCAGGGGCGCGACGGTCAGCCCGCCACCCCTGCGCCCCTTGCGCTCAGCGCCTGGTCTTCCTGGGCGCCGCCGCCGCTCTCCATGGGCGCGGCGCGGGGGCGCCTCCAGGTCATGCTCGCGCACCGCGGGGGGGTCACCCAGGGCACAGTCGGCCTCGATGAGTAGGTCGACCCTGGCAAGGCAAGGGTGTCCTTTTGTGTCCTCCGTCTCCTCCTGCCTGCCAGTGGCAAGGGTTCTCAGAACACGTTCTGGTTCGCCCCAAGGCCCACCAGCACGTGTTCAAAGAACCTCTGGTTGTTTGCACGAGATATTATTACACTACTTCTGGTTGAGACTGTCCTGTGGTCGCGCATGGAGGTTATGTTCCAAGGATCCTGCTGTTGTTCTTAGATGTTTTGTTCGGTCTTCGCATGTTTCGTGGCAATGTGGCCCTCGGCAGGGTGTCGTGTCCTCTTGCGTGTCTTATAAAGGTGCGAAGGTCGGTGACCTCGGCCTCGCCGGCTGGCCTCGGCCCCGCCGGCCCCGGCGCTGTCCCAGCTGGCTCTTCGGCGCAGCCGCCCGGCGCGTTCCTCGACCCCCGCCAGCTGCAGTGTTTGGCCACTGTGTGGGGGAGGAGGGTGACAAGGAGGGGCAGGACTCCTTGCATAATCCAGTGAGTGATTAGAGCTTACACTTCGCGGCGGAAAGCCACGGGACCAGTTCTTCAAGAGTTGTGTCCGGTAGGTGGCGGCGTTTTTTGTGGCCAGGGACCCGGCATAGCCCCAACGCCCGGGGCTCCCCTTTGGTGACGGAGGTGGGGACCCACTCGGGTGCCCCCGGGCCTTTTCAGGGGGGACGGGCGGGACGATGAGGAGGGATGGGCCGGACGAAAGAAGGGGCTGGGAAGGGGGGGCTGAGATGCTGCGCGCAGCCGCTTCGGCCCCGCCGCCCAGCGCGTTCCTCAATCCACGGCCCCCCTCTGGCGCTGGGAGGCGCCAGGCAGAGCAGTGCCCGTCGGTCGTTGGAAGAAGGTATTTCTGGATTCCCGGATCCTATGCCGCTTTAGGCGCCTTCCTACTTCAAGGATCGGGCGGTTTTCCCTTTGACCTCCTCTCCAGGGGGTGGGGGGGAGACCCAATCTACTTACAACACCTTCCCACTTGTTCCTGCCCACTCCTTCCGACCGATGGGCCAAGCGGATCCGATAATAACCATCCCAGTTTGCTATATCCCCCCGAGGTCCGCGCCAGGAGGAGGACGAGGGAGCAGAAAGCTGCGACAGCCGTGCGCGGTCTTCCGAGCAGGAGGGGAAAAGAGGGGGGAAGGACCTGCCCCCTCCCCCTGCAGTGTCGGACGACATGGGGAGGGGGTAGGGAAGGGGGGAGGAGGAGGAGGAGGAGGAGGAGGAGGAGGAGGAGGAGGAGGAGGAGGAGGAGGAGGAGGGAGGAGGAGAGGAGGAGGAAGAGGAAGAGGAGAGGAGGAGGAGGAGGAGGAGGAGGAGGAGGGAGGAGGAGGAGGAGGAGGAGGAGGAGGAGGAGGAGGAGGAGGAGGAGGAGGAGGAGGAGGAGGAGATGAGGAGGAGGAGGAGGAGGAGGAGGGAGGAGGGAGGAGGAGGAGGAGGAAGAGGAGGAGGAGGAGGACGAGGAGGAGGAGGAGGAGGAGGAGACAGGGGGACGGGTAACGACAACTGCTGCGTGCGGTCGGTGTCGGCCTCGCCACCGGACGCTTGCTTCGGTAAAGCGGGCGCCTCCGGCGCTGGGTCTCGCCGTCGAGGCCCAGTTGGGCGAGACAGTTCGCCAGTTCCCCCTTTGCTACCCCCTTTTCGTCCGTCCGCCCAGGCTTTCCGTGCGGTATCTGCAGCGGGAGCCCGCGTCGAATCCCAGATTGGACCCAGCCGTTTTCCTGACGGCCCCGGCCAAACTCGAGCCCCCGCAGCTCGATTCTTACGTCTCCCCCGCTCTTGCCCTCACGGAGCGCCCTTCCCCTCGGCGGCGAGCGAGGGGGGGAAGTGAGAAGGAGAAGGCCTTCTCAGAAGGTTCGGAAGCCCCCCTGGCCGTCTGAGAAGCTTCCGAAGCCTTCCCCGACGACCAACAAACAACTCCTCAGAAGGCGCGAGGGCTTCTGGGAAGTCCCGCCGCCTACTGCGAAGGCCTTCTCCTTCTCATTCCACCCCCTCGCTTGCCGCCGATCCCCGGCCGCCGACGAGGTGTGGTACCTCGGCACCCACTGCGGGAGGGCAGGGGGGGCAGCGTGCGGCGAGGGCCACGACGGGCCGTGCCGCTTGCGCGCGCGGCAGGGGGCGGAGACGGGAGCCTGAGAAGGAGGAGGGGGGGAGGGTGCAGGAGAGGAGGAGGAGGAGGAGGCGGAGGAGGAGGATGAGGAGGAGGAGGAGGAGGACGAGGAGGAGGAAGAGGAGAAGGAGGAGGAGCAGGAGGAGGAGGAGGAGGAGGAGGAGGAGGAGGAGGAGGAGGAGGAGGAGGAGGAGGAGGGGAGGAGAGGAGGAGAAGAATGGGCGGAGGAGGAGGGAGGAGGAGGAGGAGGAGGAGGAGGAGAGGAGGAGAGGAGGCGGAGGAGGCGGAGGAGGAGAGAGGAGAGAGGAGAGGAGAGAGCAGGAGGACGCGGGGTCGGATGAGAAAGAGGAGGAGGAGGAGGAGGAGGAGGAGGAGCAGCAGCAGCAGCAGCAGGAGCAGGCGCAGGACCAGATGCTGATGCTGATGATGATGATGATGATGACGATGATGATGATGATGATGATGATGATGATGATGATGATGATGATGATGATGATGATGATGATGATGATGATGATGATGATGATGATGATGATGATGATGATGATGATGATGATGATGATGATGATGATGGATGATGATGATGATGATGATGATGATGATGATGATGATGATGATGATGATGATGATGATGGTGGTGGGTGGTGATGATGATGATAATGATGATGATAGGAGGAGGAGGAGGGAGGAGGAAGAGGAGGAGGAGGGGAACACGGAGACCTGGGATGAGAGGGGGGGGGGCGGGGCGGCGGGGCGGGCAGGCCTAGATTGAGGGTAATGACACCCTTGCGGCAGATGACCCTCCTCAGTCTTGCACAGCCCCAGTGTTTGGCCACTGTGTGGTGGAGGAGGCTGGGAAGGAGGGGCAGGACGATGAGGCTGGGTAGTCGAAGGCCAGACTGTCAGATTGGATTGGGCCCCAAGGGCCAATCTGGCCTGACCAAACTGGATGATTTGGGTTATTCGCCAGACTGGATTCGCGCTGGCTCCCTCGCCAGATTGCCCCCGTTTGCCAGATTGGGCCTGCCAGATTGGCGCCAGATTGGCTTCGACTACCCAGTGAGGACTGACAGGTCGGACGAAAGGGGGGGGATCGGGAAGGGGTGGGGCTGAAATGCTGCGCGCAGCTGGCTTCGGCCTCCTCGCCCGGCGCGTTCCTCCATCCATGGCCCCCTTCGGCGCCAGCAGGCGCCAGGCAAACCAGTCGAGCTGGTTCGCTGACCTTCCCCATGCGCTGTCCACCCAGGTCCGCCCCCAGACGACGACGACGATGAGGAGGAGGCTGTGGCATGCGGGGTCTCCTGAGCACCAGGGGAAGGGGGGCGGACCAAGAGGAGGAGGGGGACCAGTGTAAAGCCATGACGCATCAACGATGTTGCAACAAACCCTCTCTCAAATTTCCCCCCTTCGAGCAAGAATTTGGCTTCACCGCGGCAAGAGCTCCATTGAAAGACAACAGTCTGAGAATCGCCAATCGCGCCAAAGCACCATTTCTCGGACCTCAACGCCGCGAATCAATTTCACCGTTGCGTCCTGACACTCCGAAGTCGTGCGAGAGCCCAGTTCCTGGGATCTCAACACTGCAAGTCAACGCGACCGTTGCGTCTTGATAGTCCTAAGTCGCGCCAGAACTCCGGACTTGGAGCTTTAACCATACGAACCCTTGAGCCAGCTGTAAAAGTCTAGAACGAAGCTGCCTGGCGCTTAGGCGAGAGCCACTTGCATTTGGGAAGGGAGCCGCCCTCCGACGAATATGCGCGGCGCTGAATCGAGAGCCACATCTTGGAAACCACACGCCCTCTACACAGTCGGGGCCCTGAAGAAGGAACCCTTTTCGTTGGGGAGGGGCTCCGTGTTCCGTATTTGTTTCGCAGCTTGCCTCAGGCTTTCCTTATGTGTTCGACAGGAAATCGAAGGTTAACTTATGGAAACACGGGGCCTCGTTCCTTATTTAGGGTTCCTTAGGTCAACGCCCCGACTGTACGCGCGGCGCTGAAGCGAGAGCCACATTTTGGAAACCACGCGCCCTCCATAGATGGAGCCGTAGCCTTTTTTTTTGAGGACCGGCCGACAAGCCTGAGGGCGCGACAGGAGGGAGTGACTCATCCGCAAGGGAGAAGGATGCCTGGGGAGGGCCTCCGGCGCCGCCCCTGGCGCGCCGCGCGCGCCAGGGAGGGGGGCCCAGCGCAGATCCCAGAAATACGCGCGGAGCGCCAAATGTTTATTGTGCCAATGTTGTTTTTCTTCTGCGGCAAGCACGGGGACGGGGGGCTTTTGGCCTGCGCTCTCGTGGGCCCTGCTTCTGCCGTGCGTCCTCCCTCCCCGCGCGCCCTGCCTCGCCTTTGTGCTTTCCTCCTCCTCCTCCCCTCCCCCCCCCTCCCCCTCCCCCCTCCTCCTACCCCTCCCCCTCATCCTCCTCCCTCCTCCTCGTCCTCCTCTTCTCTTCCTCCTCTTCTCCTCTCCTCCTCCTCCCTCCTCCTCCCTCCTCCATCCTCCTCCTCCTCCTCCTCCCCCCCTCCCTCCCCGCGCGCCCTGCCTCTCCTTTGGTGCTCTCTCCTTCGGGTCCGACCACCCTCCAGGCGCCACGTCCGGGTGGCTTCGCGCGCGGGCCTGCCAAGAGAGAGAGAGAGAGAGAGAGAGAGGCGGTGCTCTTCGTGAGGGGCGCCTGCGTCAGGGGCCCTGGAGCCCAGACATGATCGCGTCTTTAAAAAAATCAGGGCGAGAGGTTTTTGGCTATCTTCGGCCCCCGGGGGCCCTCGCCGGGCTCGTGGACCGTCAAGGAACGACTCAGGACGAAAAGCCGGTCCCGGGGAAAGGGTCAGGATTTCTAGGGACGCAGTCCTGAGAATATCAGGACGTCGCATGTCTGGGGAACGCCGTCGGAAACTGGAGCATATACATGACCAGTGGCGGGCTGCTTCTCAATCCCAGGACTTTGTGAGGTTCGGAAGCGACGTCGGTGTGGCGTTTTCCCGGGGACGCGACGAAACATGTATACACTAGGATCCCGTATACATCAGGATCCGCTTCCCTGTCAGGGCCGCAAAAAGCGTCGGTGTATAGAGTTCGGTTCCCTACCCAGGTCTCCGGCGATCCCACTTTTCCGATACGGGCGTGTCTCTTTGGCTCCTCGGGCCCGTTCTCGGGCCCATGCGGGCCATCAGACAGGGATCCGGGACGAGAAGAGTACCCCCCCCAGGGAAGCGCTCGGGACCTCTGGGGCCACGGCTTGACAGATCATACCGGGGGATGCCAGTCGAAGAAGAGACACCAACAGAAACATACATGTTCGACGGTCCGCGCAGACATCTAGGATCCGCGCTGGCCCCCCCCCCCAGCAGCGCCTCCAGCGCCGCCCCTGGTGCGCTCCGCGCGCCAGGGATGGGGGGGGGCCAGCGCGGATCCCAGAAATCCGCGCAGAGCGCCACAAGCTTGTGTGTTATGCCGTTTTTCCTTCTTCTAGTCAGGGAACCAGGGCACTGCGAGCCAGGGCCCTGGAATGATGGGCCCATTGTCCACCACCACTACCGTAGGTAGGAGAGGAGGAGGAGGAGCAGGAGGAGGAGAAGGAGGAGGAGGAGGAGGAGGAGGAGGAGGACCTCAGTCTCCCCTCTCCCCCGTCCTGCATATGGTAGCGGCGGTGGAAAATCTGCCCATCATGGAGAGTGCAGCTGGGGAGACCGAAGAGCGGAGAACGTTCCGACCCGCGGCCGCAGCTCTCTCGGGCGTGCCTAGGTCCGGGCTCTATCAAAGCCACCGCTCACAGGGCACACAATTAGGGTTAAGTCGGGCCTGTCCCTCTGCATGAGGAAAATTCAAACATAGTACAAACGTAGTATGGGGATAATGTTTTGATTATGTTTGTTGACTTGTTGAGGGTATTGTTTGAGTATTTCAAATTGTTCACCCAAAATCCGCCTGTAGGGGGACGCCCGACCCAAAATCAGTTCGGGGAGCGAGAAAGGACAGAAGCAGAAGAACCCGGAGGTCTCCGCGCGAACCTCCGAGTCTTTCTGTTTCTGGCGTTCTCCGCTCCCCTCCTGCCGTCGGCCCTCACGAGTGGGTCGACCCTGCCAGAATCAGGGTACCCTGGCGTCCTGCGTCTCGCAGCCCTTGCCTCCTGCCTTCCTGTGGCTCTCCGTGGCCCTCGCAGGGGCCTCGTGCCCTCTCGCGCGCCCCGAGCAAGCCGGTCCGACCGCACCGGGGCTCGTGGCCACTCTTGGGGTTCAGAGGCGGGCCTCGGGGCTCGGGTCAAGTCGGGCCTGTCCCCCTACAGGGGGATTTTCGACGACAAATAAAAAATACCCCAAAAAATAGTGAAACAAATAGTCCAAAAATAGTCTGGGGGACTTTTTTTTTTTTTTTTTTACATACTATTTTTTGACCTTTTTGGTGGTATTTGTTTGGTATTTGCTGTTTTTCGCCGAAAATCCCCCCGTAGGGGGACACGCCCGACTTACGACTCGGGGTCGCTCGGGGTGGCGGGCCGGCCCCTGGGGAGCGTGGGCAGGTCCCGGGGGGGGGGGGCTCACGCATCGAGGAGCTCCGAGCGGAGCGCGGGGTGTCCTGAGGTGCGCGGGTCGAGGAGTCGCCTCGGCGAGATGCGTTCTCCGGGTTTGTGGTCCGCCCTGCCTTCCTCAGTCTCCACTTCCTCTTGACTCCTCGTTCCTCGTCGTCCTTGCCATCCTCCGTGCCATGGCACGTCCTTGCCTCGCCTGCTCACCGTTCCTCTCCGCCTCCCGCATCTGCTCTGGTTGCTGAGCTGTTCGCGAACAGTTTTTTGCACTCTGGTGCTCTGACTTCTGTGCCCGAGGAGAATTGTATGGGTACGCCGTGGATTCGCTACGCTGCCGCGCGTGACTCGCCACGTTGCCGTCCGTTGCCGCCCTGTGGGGTATGCCGAGGATTCTCAGGAGGGAAAGAAACACACAGACACAATGAATCGTCGATCCCCCAGAAAATAGGGGGAGAATATGGGAAGTGGTGGGGAAGACAGAAACCCAGAAACTATAAGAAAACATGGGGAATCCTTGTATTTGTGTGTCTTTATTTGTGTGTCCTGGGGCCCCTTCAGATGCGCCCCGTTGCCGCCCGTGGCCGCCCGTGGGGCTATGTGCCGAGGATGCGCCACGTTGCCGCCCGTGGCCACCTCGCTGCTGCGTCTCTGCCGCCTTCGTGTGCTGCGCGGGTCTACCGAGGACTCCGCAAGGCTGCCGCCCGTTGCCGCCCGTGTGGGTATCCCGAGGAGCTGCCGCCTCCTCCTCCTCCTCCTCCTCCTCCTGCTCCTCCTCCTCCTCCTCTTTCCTTTCTCCTCCTCTTCCTCCTCCTCCTCTTTCACTCCTCCTCCTCCTCCTCCTCCTCTCCGCCTCCTCCTCCTCCTCCTCCTCCTCCTCCTCCTCCTCCTACGTTGCCGCCCGCGGCCGCCTCTTTGCCGCGTCGTTGCCGCCTCGTTCGCTACGTGGGTCTGCCCAGGTGTTGCCACGCCGCTGCCGCCTGCGGGGGGTAATAGCTTACGCAGCGTAGCTGACGTCACATGGTTTGCCCCCTTGGCTTTCGCCTCCAGCTCACACCGCAAAGCTGGCAGACAATAGCTTACATCACCTAGCTTACACCTCATAGTGTGACACCAGATAGCGTCCACCTCCACAGTTGGGTCCACGCTGGCTAACGTTCGTGGTATGTTTGTTTCATTCCTTACCCTATGTACCCACGATGCTATTGCTCCTCCCCACTATGTGTTTCTCATTGTGGCCATCCTTGCTCGTTTCTTATCCGTGCGTATCCTGATCGCTCTCTCTCTCTCTCTCTCGCTCTCTCTCTCTCTCTCTCTCTCTCTTTCTCGCTCTCCCCCTCTCTCCCACTCTCCCTCACTTGCTCTCTCTCTCTCTCTCTATCTCTCTTTCTTACTCTCTCTCCCTCTTTCCCTCTCTCCCTCATTTGTTTTTGTTTGTTCTTTCTCTCTCTCTCTCTCTCTCTCTCTTTCTCCTCGTTCTTTCCTCCTCTGTTTCGCTCGTCCTCCTGCATCCTCCCATTCCTTGGTGCCATCCTTCAGCTTCCTCCTTCCGCTTATTCGTTCGCTCCACTCCCTCGTTTACACCTGCCGCGGGCTGGGGCGAGGGGACCTCTCGAGCTGTGGGAGGCCCTCAGCGAGCCCGAGGATTCTCGCCAGCTCTTTGCCTGGGCGGGGGGGAAAGCGATGGGAGGAAGAAGAGGAATGAGGGAGAAGAGGGGTCGAGAAGGAGGAGGAGGGATGCTAAGGAGGCGGAGGAGAGGGGAGCAAACAGGGGATGCATGTCGATGCGAGGTGCGCGGCTCCTGTTTCAGCTGGCAGCAGGGTGTTTGGTGGTTTCGGTTTCGGGTTCGTGTCGTGCGTGTGGGCGAGGGGAAGCTGCGCGGGGTTGGCGAGAGGCATGACCCAGCCTAGGGCGGGGCAAAAGAAACGGCCGCCCCTCTGGTGGGCCGACGTGGCGAGGGGTGTCCCGCCTTGGTGTACCGCCGTGGTGTCCCGCCGTGGGGTCCCGTCGGTGTCCCGTCGGCGTCCGCGGCGGTGGCCGGGGCTGTCCGTCGGTGCTCCGTGGGTGCTCCGTCGGTGTACCGTCGGCGATAAGTAGTGAGGGGGGGATCGACCGAGTGATGTCAAAGCGATCGATAGTGGGATCGATAGTGAGATCGAGCAAGTGAGATCGTTCGAGGGGGGTCCATAGTTGTTCTTTCTTTACCAGTGCCGAGGTCGATCGTGAGATCGATAGTGAGATCCATGGTGTCATCTGTAGCGAGATCGATAGAGTGAGATCGTTAGAGTGGGGGAGAACGAGTGAGACGTTGGTTCCGTTCTCCCCCCACAACCTCCTTATCAGCCCAAGGGTGGTCTTATTTCGCATCCCAGACGTTACCACATGACGAGTTGAGTGCAATCGCGCTTGTTTCGCCACCCCAGGCGTTGTCACATTGCGAATACAATGGAATAGTATGTTCCGCCAGCCAGGCGCTGCGTCGCGGCGATGGAAGAGTGGAACAGTACCGTGTGTCCCCTGCCCCACGGAGTGGCCACGCGACAAGGCGAGTGGCGACGTCATTCTGTGCACCCCTCCGGTGTTGCCACCTGGCGGACGGCAAGAAGGTCTAGGATGGTAGCTTCAGTTCCGCCTCCCGGCGTTGCCACGTGAGTCGGGAGGGAACCAAAAACACACAGACACAATGAATCGTCGATTCCCCAGAAAACATGGGAAACTATGGGAAGTGGGGGGGAAGACAAAAACCCAGAAAGTGTGGAACAATATTTTTATTTGTGTGTATTTATTTGTGTGTCCTGGGGCCCCTTCAGTGAGGTGGGGAGCGGAATCGTACTGCGCTTGGCCTCCAGGCGTTGCCACGCGGCGGGCGGCCGCGCTCTCGGGGGGGCGGGCGCGCTGGCGCCGTCCTCGTCGCCATCGTCGGCGCGGGGGAGGCGGAGGAGGCCGGGGGAGGAGGACGGGGGAGGAGGAGGGGGGAGGAGGGGGGAGGAGGAGGAGGAGGAGGAGGAGGAGGAGGAGGAGTAGGAGGAGGAAGAGGAGGAGGAGGAGGTCGGGGGAGGAGGAGGAGGCGGAAGGATCGGGGGTGGAGGTGGGAGAGGGGCAGGATGGTGACGGGAATGGTGATGATGACGATGCCGATGATGATCAGTTGTGCTTGTTGCGTTTTGGAGGCGCGCTTCCGGGCCTCGGGTCGTCCCTCGGCCTTCTGGGGCTGGCGTGTCCAGAGTTTCCTGGATTCGCGCTTGCTCGCTTTGGGCATCATGCCTGGCGTTTTTGCGGGTCGGTGCGAAACCTTACCTACACCTCCTCCTACCGCCTCGTACCTTGTCGCGCATCCTCCTCCCGCATCCCGCTTCTTCCTATCTCTCCAAACCTCATCCTACCTCCTCCTACCGCCTCCGACCTCCTCCTACTTCGATTACCTCATCCTACCCCGTCCTGACCTCTCCCACCTCCTCACACCTCCTCCTACCTCCTCGCTTGGAAGATGAGGGTAGAGATCAATCAATCAATCGATGAGCGAATGACTGACGACGAGGTTTCTGTCAGCATGGCTCTGTGCGATCGCATGAACACCATCTGGGGCTTGCCACTGGCCAGCGCTTGCTGGGCTGGCTGAATATGGATCTCGAGCAGAGCAGGCGATGAACGCTACAATGACAAGGCAAATACAACATAAGAAATACATAGCATGGCGTGCCGACCGTCAGAGGCTTCACGCGTCAAACAAGCGATGATGTATTGCAACTTGCGTGCGCCACCACACGCGTGCTAGACAAGTCTAATTGGTCGGAGGTCAGACGAACATCAGGCCCTCCTCCCCCTACGTGTCTTTCATGCTCATGCCGTGCCTTTGGTGTCAAAGGCCTCCGCGGTGCAGCTCCTTGCGCCCGAAAGTCGCATCCACGATGGAATCCACGATGCCTTCTGTGAACATCTGGTGCCATGGCTCTCCGCAGCACAGGCCTCACAGGGCTCCCTGAGGGAAGGGAAGGGAGCAGGAGCAGGAGGAGGAGGAGGAGCGAGGAGCGAGGAGCGAGACGCCCCAGGCTCGCCTTCCCCAGGCCTGCAGGGGGTTCCCCCTAGAGCTTCCCGCGGCTTCCACCCAGAACTCGCCGAAGGCCTCCCGACGCTGCCTCCCGAGCGGTCTTCGTGCCTCCCCCTCCTCAAAGTTGTCAGTCGAGCACGTCCATCCACAAGAGGAGTATTCAAACATAGGCAAAAACATAGGGGAAGGTTTTGCGATACTGCTTGGCACATTGTTTTAGATATACATAGTTTGACTGATTCTATTTTTCTTCCACAAGCCGCCTGTAGGAGGACATGCCCGACCTAATCCTATTTCCTGCCTCCTCCTCCTGCCGCCCCTTGGGTGTCAAAGGCCTCCGGGGCGCAGCGGTTATCCAGGATCCCTGTCTGTGATTTCTTCTGTGTGTAGAGCACTCGCAGAAGAGGCGCCCCCGGGCCTCCCCAGGCCCGCCCAGGCCGGCCCGAGCCTCTCCTGGCGCTCCATGCGCTCTGCTGCACGCAGCGCCCCGACCTCCTGCGGAGCTTCACGGCGATGCCTCTGCGCGAGCGCCTCCGCGCGAGCGCGGCGCGCTCTCCATCGCCCGCTGCCTGCCGCCTGCGCAGCTCGCGGTGGCGGTCGTGGCCGCCGGCGCGCCGCGCCGCGGCCGCCGCGGCGCGCACGAGGGCCTCCCGAAGCGCGGGCCCCTCGAGCAAGACACGGCCACGGGGGAGGACAGGGAGGAGGAGCAGGCGCAGGAGCACGAGGAGGAGGAGGAGAACGAGGAGGAGGAGGAGGAGGACGAGAACGAGGAGGAGGAGGAGGAGGAGGAGAACGAGGAGGAGGAGGAGGAGGAGGAGGAGGAGGAGGAGGAGGAGGAGGAGGAGAGGAGGGAGGAGGAGGAGGAGAGGAGGAGGAGAGAAGAAGGAGGAGGAGGAGAACGCGGAGGAGGAGGAGGAGGAGGAGGAAGAGGAGGAGGAGGAGGAGGAGGAGGAGGGCGGGGAGGCAAGCGCTGGAGAGGAAGGCGACCACGTCTGTTCGGAGCGGCAGGGCGCCGCGCGCAGGAGTGGCTGCAGTTCTTCCGCGCCTGCGAGGCCTTCGTGCCCTGCGCCCGGGCCTGCCCGGAGCTGCGGGAGGCGGTGCTCGAGAAGGCGGGAGGGGCCCCGGCGCCTCCTGTGCTTGGGGTGAAGTCGGGCATGTCCCTCTACAGGAGGAACCTTCAAAACGAGTCACCAACTTCGACTATCCTTGATTATGTTTGAGCATTATTTTCCTATGTTTCGACTATCGTTGATCATGTTTGAGCATTCTCCTCCTATGTCTCAACTTCCGCCCAAACTCCGCCCAAACCAGCGCGCTCCGGTCGCTGCGCCTCGCCGAGAGCGCTCTGCAGGGGTTGCCGGGAGCCTCCTGGACTCCCTCACCGGCCGCGTTCCCCTACACGAAAGCCGAGTGGCCCTTGGCTGCGCGGCGCCCGCGGCTTCCTCGACCACGACGACGGCCACGACCGCGAGCACGACCACGACGACCGCGACCACCACGATGACCGCGACCACCACGACGACCACGGCCGCGAGCACGAGCGACCACGTAGACGACCGCACGACCTCAATGACTGCGACCACGACCCTCGACGACCACGGCGGCGACGACGGCCAGGACCTCGGCGCTGTCCTCCGCGTTTCCCGCCGCCTGGGAGAGGCGAGGGGGCCTCCTCCCTCCTCCTCCCGCACGGCCGTGTAGCTTGAAGCCGCCCCGCGTCCATGCACTTCTAGATCACGAGCGCGCCTCGACATGCATGTGGGGCGAAAAAACGTTCGCCGCGGAATCAACGGTGATTCCGCGAAGAGGTGCCGCTTACAATGATGTCTCGCTAGCCTAGGTCAATTATGCAGCGCCGCCCCTGGCGCAGTCGTTGTTGTTCGCTCATGAGGTCGGTATTTGAAGATTGCGTTGGGGAAGGTCTGATTGCACTTGATGTGTTCAGGCGTTCTGGTCACTCCGTTCGCCGCCGCAATTCGATTAGACGTTGCATTGATTTCCTGCGTTGGTTTGCATCGACGCCTTGGTCTTGTTGGGATTGTCTTGCATGTCTACTTCTCGGCTTCATTCATGTGAGAACTTTGGCCTCGCCGGCTTTGTTCCGAGCCGTGCTGATTAGCCTGAATTGGTTTGTGGCATCCTGGTCGTGAGGGTTACGTTTGCAATATGCTGTTCCCATAGTGTTGTTCGAAATTGCTCCAGCGCCTTGGTCATGCCAGGTTACGCCCGCAGCATTTAATGTACTATAGTTTTTCGTGGTTTGATGCCTTGGCCTTGCAAGGAAGCGCTGGATGTGTTCTGGCATATGCGTTCCCCACTCAATAATTATCGTATCACCGATGTTTATTGAGCTTTGCGGTGGCGTCGACCTCTGTTGTTCTTCCAACTCCTGTCCCAGATTGTGAGGTATTCCTTAGGTTTCTTGTCTTTCCCACCCCTCAGGGAGGTTTTATTAGACTGCGATATGTGCTTTCCCACATTCTAGATTAGACATCAGATTATGGATCATTTTCTGCTTGTTGAGTCCCAAACGCTGTATGCCTGTAATTGGTATGAATTGCTTGTGTATCACCTTTTTTCAGAGTGCGGTGTGTGAGAAAAGATAGCTATGTTGTATTGTTTGGTTGATTTTCCCACTCGGGTATGTCTGGCAGTGCAGTATGCCGTCATCCTTTTGTTGCCGTTGCCCCTGCCCTTGCTGCAGCTTCTTTTCCCACTCCTTGCCGATACTTCTTCGGATCCCTCGCACACTCCTGTGTTCTCCACTCCTTCGCCCACCTCCTTTAGTCAAATCCAAGTGTTCAAAGGATGTGGGACAACATGCAAGGTAAATCATTGCGGTTCGAGTCGCTTTGGTTTCTTTCTCGTTCGGTTTTGTTTCCGGTTCGTCCAGTTTTCTCGGTCCGATGCGTCCGGTCTGGGTCCGCAATTGTTCGGCCAGGTTTCGTAACTTCATTGAGAATGTGTGTGGCGTTGAGGCCAGAACCACAAGTTGAATACTACCTGCGATCAGTTCTGTAACGAAGTGTCAGCTGGCCCGCTGGGCACGCCGTGCCGACATGTCTGGTGAAGCCGCGAGGAGGAATTCTACATGACGTTGCAGTCTGGAGGAGGAAGAGAAGTAGGAGGAGGAGGAAGACGACGACGACTAGGATGAGAAGGAGGATGGGGGAGGCAGAGGTCAGCGAGGAAGGGAGGGGAGGAGCAGGAGCAGGGGGAGAGGATGGAGAGCAAGGAGGAGGGGAATGGACGACACGTCAAGGGAGGGGGACAAGAGGGAGGATGAGGAGGAGGGCGACCGTATAGGGTGGAGGACGAGAAGGGGGAGGGGAAGCATTTTTTGCCATCAGCGGCGGAGGCAAGGCCGGCGTTGATCTCATGCTTTTTGGTGTGGACCCTCTTGCTGGGAGGAGGAGGAGGAGGAGGACGAGGAGGAGGAGGAGGACGACGACGAGGGAGAGGGTAAAGAGGAGGGACGGATGGAGGACGGAGTGGAGTGGGAGGAGGGGAGGATGAGGGGCAGGGGGAGTTGGATGGGGGTTCGGAGGCGAGGGAGGAAGAAGATACAGAGGAGGTGGACGAGCAGGAGGGAAAGGGGAGGATCGGCGAGAGGAGTAGGGTAGAGTGAGGAAACGGAGAGGAAGGAATAGAAGCATGGAGTGTAGCAGCAGGGGGACATGTCTTTGTGAAAATGGTGCTCGCTCGTGGAGAGCTGTAAAGTACATGGGCGTCGATCCTTATTTCACTTGAGGGTAAACATTATTGAGACCAGTTGGGGTTCTTTTGGACGGACGGCTGATGAGCTCTATAATTCTTTAGTTTGTTGCCCCGCTCTCTCTCTCTCTCTGACTCTTTCTCTATCTCTGTCTCTGTCTCTTTCTCCCCTAGATCTAGTGGCCTTCGACCCATCCCGCCACCGTGGCTGGGTCGTGGACAACCCGCCTATCAGGAGGCTTTCGGTGGCCTCTTGGGGGCCTCTTGGATGTCTCTTGGGGCATCTGGTGGGTGTCTTGCGAGCCTGTGTGGGGACTCCTGGGTGCCTATTAGCGGTGTCGTCGGTGGCAACCGTTGTGGTGAAAGGCTTGAAGTGCCAGTTCGGGTTCTCCCTCTCTGGGTTCTCTTGAGCCCTCTTGGGCGCTTTCCGGGCCGTCTTAGGGCTCTCTTGGGCCATCTGGCGGCGTCTTGGGGCGTCTTGGGCCGTCTTGTGGCGATCTCGGCTGCCTCTTTGGCTGTCTTGGGGCGTTGGGGTCGGCGAGAACGCTAAATCAGTCAACGCTGAATCAAACTGCAGGATGTAGGCATAGTCGAGCCTTCTTGAGGGCTATCCTGTGGCCCTCTGGCGGCGTCTTGGGGGGCGTCTTTTGTTGTCCGAAGGACATTTTGGGGGGCTTGTGGCGATCTCGGGTGCCTCTCTGGCTGTCTTGGGGCGTGGGGGGGCTTGAAGGGCGAGATTATTTAATCAGTCAACGCTGAATGAAACTGCAGGATATAGGCATAGTCGAGCCTTCTTGAGGGCTATCCTGTGGCCCTCTGGGGGCGTCTTGGGTCGTCTGAAGGACATTGTGGGGGGGGCTTGTGGCGCTCTTGGACTGACTCGGGAACCTATTGGACCATGTTGGGGGCATCTTCTGACCCTCTAGGCCTATAATGGGCAGGACCGCTAGGCTGTGTTCCCCTGGTATATCGGCCCAAAGTGTCGAAAAAGTGTCGGGCGACCCTTTTATGAGGACCTCAGAAAAAGTGTCAGAATTCGCTTGGCCATTTCAGAAACGATGCAATGCCGTATGATAATGATTGTGATATGTTGAGCCAGCGGGTTGCCTCCTCCTCCTCCTCCTCCTCCTCTCGTTCCTCCTCCTCCTCCTCCTCCTCGTTCTTACTTCCTGCGCTTGCAAGAGTAGTTATGACGCCATTGTCCCTGATGATACATTGCCGTGCCGTGCCGTGCCAACGTAAGAGGTGGCGTGCCGCATCGTACCGCCTTGATGTATCGACCTGGGTGCTGTGCTGCGCCGTGCCGTGCGCAGCTGTCATGTTTCTGGCCGTGCCGCTCTGCGTAGTTCAGTGTGTCTTTCCGCATTGTGTATTGTTGAGGCTAAACGGTCACCAACCCCCACATGAGGGTGCCGCTGCGTACGGATGACCAGCTTATTCGCACATTCGTCCTGTGTACTACGCAATCTATCCTACAATGACTGGGCATTCTGTTCAGTACATGTCATTGGACTCCAACGAGCCACAAGAGAGCCCCGATCTCCCCTCAACCTCCTGAAGACCCAACGTCATCTCCACACTTACCTGATACCATCATACGCATCCCTTTCCTCCTGCACTTGATGGATGGTTCATGCCCGAAGAGGCACATGGCGTCGCTCATTCCGTCGCCGTTTTGGCTCTCAGGCCCCGTCGGGGCTAGGGTTTCCTCGTGGCAATGCCCACGGACATCCAGGCTTCATGTCCGATATCGCAGCCGCCGCCCCTGATGGGAAGCGGCGGAGACTGGATGCATTAGCTGCTGGTCGCGCTACGGCCCTGGCCAACAGGCGGGAGAGACGGCTCGTACAAGCTTCATCGACACCTGTGGGTTTCAGGGTTGGCGCAGTTGATCTTCGTCGCATGATGGCCCCAAAGCTGCTTGGGGTACCCCACCCTCTTGTTGGCCACATGGGCACCGTGCTCCCTCTCGCATTTCGCTCGCCTGCACAGTCACGTGAGAACCCGACTGGTGTGCAGAAGTTCTTGTTGGGGTGCGAGGCCTTGTCGGCCAAGTCTCTGGAGTTGCAGGCCGCAGAATGTGGCATCTACAGGAAAACATACAAAACGAACGTGCAACGGTTGGCAGCTCTGACGTGGTGCGTGGATCGTTATTCTCGTCGGTCGGTCGTTACAGCAGCAACGACATCCAAGATTTCACATCTGCGGCTCGTGCAGCGCATCGAGAACACAATGTATGATGAGACACCGATGGACATCAGGGCACCAGATGCGCAGCGGAGCGCGACCTCCGTGTTCGATGGTGAGGTAATCGTTTCGGTTCCAGTGTCGGCTTCTTTTTCAAAGCCTTCAGAGAAGACCCCAACGAAGCTGCTCCAGACCCGAACCAGCTGGG